TTTAATTCATCGTTATCTGGTTCTATTAGCTAATATTAAAAGATTGATACATAATTTAAGCCATTATACGATTAATTATTAGAATTTTTTATCAGGGAATCAGGATTATTTTTATCTTTTTACAAAATAATAAATAACAATGTCAGCACACACAAGGGAATTAGCAGATGTTTAGGATTCAAAAACATTTAGAGTAAAAAGAGTTATTCGACCTCGTCTATCGTTAATAGCTTAATTTTTTTTTTTTTAATTCAGCTGTACTTCTTAAAATGTAATTTTTAGGTAAAATTTTTATGAGTATATTCCTGGCAAAAAATTTTTTAAACCATTTAAGTCAGATTAAATTGTGTTTTTTCTCAAATTTGAATTATTTTTAATATTTAAGATTTTCAAGAATAATGGAAAAAAAACAATCATCTGAAGAAAATAAGAAATTGACACATAATTCATATAATACGTTTGTGGTGAAAAATTCAAAAACTTTTGCTAGGAAAACGCCCAAAAGGATTATTATATACACAAAAACGAACAAAGGACAGTAGTACGCTAGTACGAAAGGTTTTTGCCTTCAAAAAGTTGAAACAGGCCGTGTCAAGAAATCTCTTCAAAATTAAAAGTAATTCACGTTTGAAGTTTTATTTTCAAATGCTTAGTAAATAATATTCACTTAGGTTTTTTTTTTATATTTTACTTAGGTTATTTTTAATTAATATGTAGTAAAAGAAAATTTTTACCAAATTGTAAGTCTATGAAACTTACAATTAAAAAAGAACGTTTTTTTTTAACGTCTCTGTACATTTTTGTCAACAAATCATAATTGCATGTATAATTAATACTAAATTGTATTAAAATGAGTTCAAACCTACACGGAAAAAATGAAACCTGACTGGTTCATTTTCGGCACCAGACTCAGTCGTGTGCAAGAAAAAATGGAAGGGGAATAAAAATTGGTTTACACCAGACTGAGTCGTGTGCGCACCCGAATGAGTCTAGGCAGCACAGGACTCAGTCCTAAATAAATAAATTTAACTCACAAATTAATAGATGGAACAAGTGAAATTTAGTTTAAAATAAATTATATTTTGATACTAATATTTACACTCTAAAACTTCAGTTCTAATTGTCAAAACTTTTTAATTAAGTGAAACTCTTTTAAAAGGCGTAAGATGTATCTCAATCGATCAATCTGTTCCTGAGTTATGACAAGTAACACAATAACTTTCTTATTTTTTTTTAAATTTACAATTTTTTAGTGGGAAATTGAATAATTTATTTTGAACTTCCCGCTATGAAAATCAGGAAGTTATTGATTTTGCCTCGGTTTTCGAAATCGAATTTATATCAAATGCACGAAGTGTTAAAAAACGCCGTAATATGTGAAATTTTGAGCACTTTGCATTTAAAATTAGTGGGAAGTCGCAGGGATGGCCTGTAGGGTCAAACGTTTTACTAATTCTTTTATTGTATAATATCTAATTTTTTTATTGTCATACAAAATTTTTTTTAATTTCAAAAGTTTCAATACTTTAATAGTTTTTACTATGTTACAATTGTCAATTGTTTATTTAAATCTTTTGCAGATTAAATAAAAAAATTTAACGCCAAAAGTGACAAAACAACAAGATCGGTTAATAATAAATGGATAAGCTTGTTTAAAAATGAAAAAAAAAAAGTAAAATATATGTATAATAATTCATAAATTACAAATTATATACTATAAATAAAACCAAAATGTCATAATTTAATAAACTTCCAATATATCCTGCATAATTAGAGCAATTAAATTAAAAAAATTAGGAAAACGGTTGACCCTAAAAGCTATCCTTGCAACTTCCCGCTAATTCCTTACCTAGGCGCTTATTGCAGTTATGATGTTTTTGAGCTCTTCGAGCTCAAAAATACAATTTATGTGTTGCTTTGAGCTCTCCGAACTCAAAGAAATAGCTTTCCTATGCTTTTAAGCTCAATAATTTTATCAAAGTTCGATGAAACTCGATTTTTAAAATTTTCAAACTGATATAACTTTTGAATGAATCAACCGATTTTCACGCGGTTGGATGCGATCAATTTAGTTTTTTGAGCTTTATAAATAATTTGGTACAAAAAAATTGATTTGATGAAACATTTCGGAGTTATTACAAAAAAACACTTTTTTCGAATTTTTTCGACAACGATATCTCACGAACGCATCAACCGATTCTGACGCTTTTGGTGGCGATCGATGCGGGTTTTCAAGCTTAAGAGCTGATTAGTTTTTGAGGTCGATCGGTTCAGCCAATTCGGAGATATTTTGAAAAAATGAAAAAAAAAAAAAAAAAACAACTTTTCTTTTCACTTTTTTTTTGCAATTTCTCGAAATATACTGGTCCGAATTGGTTCCAACTTGTAGGAAATCTAAGTTTGGCGAAGACCTTTCGAATGACACCAACTGCGATCAAATCGGTCAAGCCGTTCAGAAGTTATAAGAGGTTTACACACACACACCCACTCTCATACATACATACATACATACAGACGTACGGACATCATCGTAAAAATAGTCAGGAAAGCTTCTTAGGGCTTCAAAACGTCGAGATCTGTTTTGAAACCTCGATTTTTGTAAAACCAATAACTTGCCGATTTTTTGAAAATCTTCGATTTTCTTAGCGGGAAGTTAAAAATGATGTCAGCGAATTGTATCCGTCATATTTTATAAACAAAAATAATTAATATCTTATCGGTTTAATAATTCATAATTACATTGAGAAGAATATAAGCAACTTTTTAAGAATTAAGAAATTTCTTATTCAGTCTTTGGAATATATTTAACAAAATTAAAGGTAATTTACTCAAAAACGTGAAGTTATTAAAAATTAATCACATAATAATAGTCGAGTTAATTTTTTCAGTATTTTTTACCTGTACCTTAACTGTTAAGGTGTATTGCTTGGATAATAAAGACAGAATAGACTACCGAAAGACATAAACATTTTATATAAGCGTACACTTTGTGTTTGTAAACTGTAAGGTTCCTTCATCTTTTAATCTTAATCATTATTCGTAACAATAGATATTAGAATAAAATAAAAGTTATGTAATTTAAATTTTATTTTGTACTAACTATAATTTAGTTTTTATATTCTTATTAAAATAATATATTAGAAATAGAAAGGGATTGTAAGCGAACGACAGAACAATAATAAATGAGGATGAGAGGTGTATAATATAAATGTAAAGAGAATATATACAAAGTGTGAGAAATGAAAGAATGGCGCGCGCAAGTGGTTACAGGTTAGTGAGTACATGGCTGCCATGAGGAAGGAGCCAAGTGCGCGCAAGTGCGTTGGCATTTTACATAGTTTTATGTATATTTTTTTTTTATTTTAAGATGCTGAATATTATTCGGTTGTGAAATTAATAATATGATTTTTTTTTCAAGTACATAATAGTCAATAATAATGTTTAAAATACACGGTATCAATAATATTTATAATTGTATGTTATCATTTGGATTGTATATATATTCCACATATTTGCTGCTGTCAGGTATCTCACAATTGATTAACTGACGCAGCTATGACTTGAGAATACTGTCATCATTACACTGAAAATAGGGTTTGTATTTTTTACTATTATTTATTTAACAAATTTCAAATAATTATATTGGATTTTATTGTGCGAATGTAGGGGATATCCATATGAGCGAGCATGACACTAATTACTGTGACCTGTTAAGATCCCGGAAATGTCAGCATATTTTTTTTTCTACCGTTAATTTTATTATTTATATTTTATTTCAATTATTTTTAAAAATATTTTGTTGATTTTATTTTATAAGAATAAATTTATTTTTGTGATAAAAAAATGTTGATAAACTTTTTTTTTTTTTGTCTTAGATAATGATATTATAGATAATAAAAGAGCGAGTAATTTTTTCACCTGTATTGCAGTTATTTTATTTTATTCATAAAGAATGTCGCATGACAGTTAATTAAAGATAACACTGATAGTAGTTTGATAACTGCATTGATTACACAATAGTACAGAACAAATCATTTCATTGTTAGTTTTATGTTAAATTCGTATTGCACTTCAATTACTTACCTATATTGAATATTTTAAAAATGGTAATATACGTTAAATTAAATTTTATTTCAATGCGTAAAGTATCAGAATGTTTCATCTAAAGAGAATAATTGTTTACTCAGCAATAAATATTGATAAATTATATTATGAATCAAACAAAAAATTTTTTTTTCAGTAGAATGGTGATAATGATAATAAAGTAAAAATTAACTCAGTTTATATTAATACTATTGGTGGATTCTTGTTTTTTTCTTGAATTATCTTGAGTCATAAAACATATTTTAGCAGAAAAGACTTATAAGTATGCTTAGGCTTTTAAGTATGTATCTTTTGAAGATGACAATTACTTTATCTAAAACTTTTATGGTATTAAAATTAAAGATATTTAATTTTTCTTTTATTTTTACATTTAATTTGAGATTTTAATTATTACTTTTTGTGTCAAGTATAGCAAAGTAGATTGATAATCCACTTCAGTTGAAGAAAAATTAATAATGTATAATTAATCTTTTGTAAAGTTCATTAATTTATTTATATATTCAAAGTCTTTAACAACAATTGTTATTATTATTTAGTAATTATCAGCTGTTTAAATTATTAAGCTTATTATTGATCGATAGATCTTCTTTTTATATCAAATAAAGATCATATAACATTTGTGTAAATATTGGCTGAAGTCTCGCGAAAAAAATGAAAGAACACTTGTCAAGCATATTAAATGTCAAGTTGAATAATGATTAAAAAAAAATTAGCCCATGTCTAAAAATTTAAAATAATCCCAAATTGCTTCTTAGTATTTAAAAAAATCTAAGTGATTTTATCAACCTGTTAGTTTTGTCATATTTATCAAAGTCATACTGGTAATAATTTTACTTAGTGTATTTATATAATTTTTTTTTTAATAATTTTCAGATAAACATATTAATTACTCAGCCATGGAGCATGCAGATTTAGTTGCCGAGATGGTACACGTCGAAAGACTTACAACGCAAGAGCGATTGCATCTTGCTCGACATCGCAGGCTTCAACAGCTAAAAGTTTGGCGCCAAAGAGAAAAAGAATGGTTGCGTCATCAGACAAAACATGCAAGCAATAAAAGAAACATATTTTTTGATGATAGTGTTATGCTATTAGAAGCTGCAGCGAGGAACGATATTGATGAAGGTAAAACAAAGCCCAAACAATAAAAAATGAACGTCATTTTATATTTATACTTAATCAATAAAAATATATTTTTAATCAATATTTCAGTGCGAAGGTTATTGAAAAAAGGCGTTAATCCAGATTCTACGAACGAGGATGGTTTAACTGCTCTTCATCAATGCTGTATTGACGACAATGAAGAAATGATGAAATTGCTGGTTGAGTTTGGTGCAAATGTCAATGCTGAGGACAGTGAAAAATGGACTCCTTTACATGCTGCGGCTACTTGTGGTCATTTACACCTTGTACGCTACTTAATTGCATCTGGTGCTAACTTATTAGCTGTTAACGCTGATGGAAATATGCCTTATGACATTTGTGAAGATGAGAGAACTTTAGATTGTATAGAAGGTTAATTCAAATTTTGATGTTATGCAAAAATTTTTATTTTATCATACAACTATAATAATAATAATAATAATAATAATAATAATAATAATAATAATAATAATAATAATAATAATAATTGTAATTGTAATTTATTGAAAGAGGCCGTAGGACATAGTCCTCTAACGGCCAAAAGCATACACAAAGCATACATGATATCTTAAAATTAAGTACAAATCAGTATAATATCAAAGTAAAAGTCAAAAAGTGTTCAAAAACCATTATTAAACAAACAGAATAGATTATTATAATATTAATGTTAATATTAACAGGTCTCTCAACGTCAATTTTATCGCAGTAATACAAATTTAATTAATTAAGATTAATAATGAATGCTGAAACAAAAACAGTCTATTTCTAGTCTTATACCATATTGCACAGGATAGAAAGTAACTAAATTGCACTCAGCCAAAAATACGCACTTAGAGATAATAATAATAATAATAATAATAATAATAATAATAATAATATTATATAATATGTTTAGGTGAAATGGCTAGTCGAGGTGTAACACAAGAGTTGATTGATGAAACACGTGCATCAACAGAGGTTCAAATGTTACAGGATTTACAAAAAGCGGTGGCGCTAGGTCAAGATTTAGAATATAAAGATCATCAAGGAGCTACTCCTGTATGAATAAAAATTAATTTTATCGATGAAAATAAGTAACAAATAATTATTTATTTGTTTCATTAATTATTACTGGTAAATTTGGTTTTTATTTTACATTACAGCTCCATATAGCAGCAGCTAATGGTTACCTTCGTGTTGTCGAATATCTTTTAGATCAACATGTTTCAACAGACGTGGAGGACAATGACAAATGGCAACCGGTGCACGCTGCTGCTTGTTGGGGTCATGTTAGTAATTATTTATATCAGTTTTTTTTATTTAGATTCTAACATTTAATAATTAAAACTATAATCTTTTTAATCATTTTAGTTGGAAGTTCTTGAATTGTTAGTTCAAAACGGTGCAGATTTGAACGCTAAGAACAAACATGATGAAACACCAGCAGGTATTAATTTTTTTAAGTATTGAAAAATAATTCGAGCCCTTTTGTTATGTTATTAATTATAATTATAAATACTTGTCTATTATTTATTCATATATGTGAATATTATTTGTTTATAGATATTTGTGAAGATCCGGAAATCCGAGAACGCATAGTAGAGTTGAAAACAGAGCAAGAAAGTAAAAAACTTCGTGAGGCACAAAGTCGGCGTGTACGTAGATCACAAAGCATTAATACAAGAACGCAAAGCGTGAGACGAACATCTATAAGGGATAAAGTTCTCACGACTAAAAAAGACGCACAAGAAGAAGCTAGATTGAGATTACAAGCTCAACAAGTAATTGTTATAAATTATAAATAATACTTAATTAAAGATAAATGTCAACAATGATGTAATTACTAAGCCGTTTACTTTTTTTTTCCTCTAAATAATTATAGACTTATACTTCAACCAAGACACCGGAACCAACAATTATAGCAAATAATACAAATGTTGAAAATAAGACGGAAGAATCCGATTTATCTCCAGCTGTACGTCGAGGTCCTGAAGGCAAAGATAATGATTCATTTCTTCATGAAGATGCTGACAAAGATTCAGGTAGCTTCCAAATCTTTTATATTTCATATTGATTTTTTTTATAATGTTGATGACTTTTTTTTTGGTGTTTTTAATCATGAATTGTTGAAATTAAAAAAATGATTTCTATTATTTAGACAATGTATTTTAATTGAATTCATCTATTATCTCTTATTCACAAGCCATATTTTCTTTTCTTTCCTACCACTGCGTGTCCCCTTGACATACAATTCCGAGGTCAGTTTTTTATGTCACATTCTTATTCGTTTAAAATATTATTGATTTATTAAAAAATTTTCGGTGTGTACTATTTTAGATTTATTATTATTAGCACGCAAATATAATATCAAATTTTGAATAAAAGTTTTAGATTGTTTGTATCTCTTGTAGTAATTGAATACGACAATAATTTACTTTATTGAGTTCTTCATTATACTTCCCGTATTTTTTATTATTATAATTTTTTAATTTTTTTTTTACCATAAACATCCCTATGTCGATAATTTTTTGAACGATACGGTGTTATTTTTACATCCAAATACTCGATGCATGTGCTGATGTTTTAATAATAATTGTTTATTAAATCTCTAATTTCATATTATAAAGTTTTTTAGAAATCGAAAAAAAAAAAAAAATATAGTAAATAGTTTGATATTTTTATGTATGGTGTTTTTGATAATAGTTATGTAATTATTGTAAAATTTTTAACGATTTCATACTTTTTTCTAAATGTAAATATATTGTAATTTAATGAGGTAATTTTGAAATAAAATTTAGAAACTTAAACCATGAATGAGTAATATTAAAAAATGAGTAAATATTTTGTAGATATGTTTTGTGTATGCAATTTTTTTGTATAACGATCGTATATATAAATTCATTTTGTATGAAAATTTCGCATGAACAAAATTACACTTTTCAAATTTAGAAGAACAGTAATCGGAGTTATGAAATGGAGTTGATATAATATATTACTAACTTTTAAAAGTAGTTTTAAAAAATAAAATTACTAAGATAAATTTTCGACAAATTTACACATTTGCATTGATAGTTACAGAGCCTGATTCCCCGGTCAACCGACAACAACAACAACCAACGTATGAGAGTGATACTAACGGCAAAATCAACATTCATGTGTCTGTAGTTTTTGTGAAATCTTTGTCAGATTTGAAAAAACAGCGAGCTCAGAGTCGGCACACAAATCCAACAATTGTAGATGCTAATGGAAATGGTGTTCCAGTTTCTTCACCACCTGACAATGATTTAACTGCCAATAATTTTCAACGTTTCTCTGGGAATACTAGTGAGATTATTGGAGATAGTCATACGGAACAACGTTGTTGTATTATAATGTGAGTTTAAATTATTGTGCCGGACTCAGTATCTAATTATTATTTAAATGCCATGTCGACTAATGGTATAAATTATATGTAAAGTAATTTTTTTTACACATTATGCAGAAATCAAATGTGAAATTCTAACGTCCAGTGAAAATAATATTTTTCATTATTCAAGTGATTATATAAATGTATAAATTAGCAAAAACTAATTTAATTTAAAATGTTGAAAAAGTTAATATTTATTCTCTATTAAATAGAGACAGATGATGTATGTACTTAAATTGTTGGTTAATTTTCTTTAAATTAATATTCAGTAGTATTTAAATGCAAACATTTAGATTGTGAGACAATATCTTTTTTTTTTTTTCGTACGGCTCTATACTATATTCTTTGTTAATTAATTTATTTATTTTTACACATATTCAAATGTTTTTTCGATAAACACATTTGTTTATACTTATTATAAATTATTCTTACTTATTCATTTTTGATTTAAGTATCATAATTATCGATAAAATCAAAATTAAATTTTTACAAAAAATATTCTGATGTTTTTTTGATCGAATTATTTTATATCAAATATTAGATATTTTAGTGAATTTATAATTTAGAAACACAATTTAACAGATTTTTGGTTGTATACCAAGTAATTTACAAGTGAAAACATAAATATTAAAATATTTGCTCATTATAATTACGTTTAATTGTAATTGTTATTTAAGAGGTACATTTAGTTTGTTAAAGGTTGCTATTGGATTATTGTCTTCTAATTACTGTTATGACAAACAATATTTTTTAATGTTATTCATAACAGCGTTCATCAGTCAGATAATAAAATCCCGCAAACTTATTACATTAATATAGTTGTTGAAATTATAAACTGATATAAAAATCTATATCTCGGCTGGTGGGACTTATGTCTCTGTTTTATCTATAAAATGTTGTGATTAATAGATGCGCAAAGTAATATTTTTTTATAATTTTTATTGAAATAAGTATTAAGTCGATTAATAATTAAGACATTTAATTAATAGTTTTATCGAATTGTTATGTATAAATAATTAATATTTCGATTCTTGTTCATCGAAACATCACGTACCTATAATTATTTATAAAGCATTTCACTGATAACATCAAGTATGAATCTCAAATTAACGATACTTTGAGAGTTTGAGTTGACATATTCTTAATTCTTCCGAAATCTACAACGATAGACTACATGATTCATGAGTGATAAACTTAGGGTATAAACATCGGTTTTGGACATAATTTATTTACCAATTCATATTAATAAGAAGTATTGATACTGTTAGACGTGTAATTACAGTATTTTTAAATATATGGTAGAAATAGTTGTAATGTATTTTTTTTGTACTTAAAAAATTATTTTATCAAAATCATTAAAGTGTCCGAAAATGGGCTAATGTGTCTAAAACCGGTTGTTTTACCCTATTTATGAGTCTTTAGTTATTAACAACTAAAACAAACTACGAATAAAAGAAGGCTTATTTATGAGTATTTTAGTACTTAATTACAAAATATGGATGAATCCATTGCAATAACCAAAGCTCATTAAAACCACGTACTTTTACAAAATTTTTCAATCTTCATGTTTTTTAGTGTATGCGAAATAAAAATACGCGATTAAATTTTTAAATCCTTTTTTCAATAATTGTGAAAATGCTTTCCTGTTGAAAAAAAATTAAGAATCCACTGTATGAGCGTTACTACTGTTATAACTTGGAGAAATCAAATTTATTAAATCTTTAATAATAAAGTTAACAGAATAGTTGGTCGTTTTAAAAGATATTTAAAAATCTAGTACTCATAGAATATTTTCACGATTAACGAAAAAATAAAAATTATTAAAAATCTTTCTATTATAAGATTGAAATGGATCAAAAATTTTAATAAAAATCATAGAACAAAGTAGATTATTTATAATTAACGAGAAAGTAATGCATAGTATTTATTATTAATAGAATTAAAAATTATAATAAAATGATTTTATTCGTAAAAATTATTAAAATACCTTTTTGGTTGTGTGAAATTTAATAGTTGTATATATTTTCTGTTGATTGCTCTAAATTAGAAATAAATTGTATAAATTATTTTACCAAACTTACTCAACTACGATTAATAAATTACAGTTCACATCTTTTAAGTACAATTAATAACATTCCGCGATTAATTTTAATTGAAGAAGTATGTAATTTTAAGATTTTTACTTATAAAATAGATCAAATTGAAGACTTTCTAGAATCATCAGACTATCAATAAACACGCATAAAGTAATATTAAATCCATTTGTTTTTATTAGTATACTTAAAAATAAAGCACAACATAATAAATTTATTTAAATATAAAAAAGAGTCTAAACATGCATTTTATATGTATTTCATAATTAATTATTTAATATCATAGCGGTTTATATTTGTGTCCATCACACATACCTATTGTATATTTATCAGTACATTATACACATATGTTGATTTAACATTTAAAATTAATCAAATAGAATTTATTAAAACATAAGTATTTTGAGTATAAATACAACAAATCTAGGTTATTTTTCAATATTAATAATATAAAATTATCAGTGTATTTTATTTAATAATTTATTTAACGACTGTAGGTTATTCCGCAGTTAGTTATAATTGTAATCCATTAAAATGGGAAAATGAATATTGTACAAATTATATTGACCATTATCTGATAAATCTGTATAATTATTGTTTGATTGATTTATTAATTTTGGTGATAAACATTATGAATAAATTGTCTTTAAATTTGAATTATTGTTTTACATATCATTGGAAAATTCACGGTTGATATTTAAGTTATTTATAAATTACCATAAAATTCATTATTTGCAATTGGTTATAATGAAAAGTTATACAGATGTTGTTTTACAAATTTATTAAGTTTAACATACGTTATATTATTAGCAATCTTTTTCTAGTCATAATGATTAAATGATTGTTAGATCAATACTTCCGGAGGAAATATTGGACTAAAAAAAGAAATTGAAAAAATTTATGTTGAGATAAAAATATTGAAAAAATTATTTCATTATTTTTCATTGTATTCCAGCTAGTTTTGTTTTTATTTGTTTATTTGAGGTCGCTTTAGAACTATAAGATTATCAGCGGCCACATTTTAGCTAATATTAGTTTAGAAGTTATTTTGTCAACAAACCTATTTATTCTTGAACTATCCTACGTTTTATACATATAACACAATATTTCATCATTTCTGTCCTGTAAGTTTTAATTTCTGCATTAAAAATATTTTATTTTCGTATTTTGTTCATTTTTAAATTAGTCCGCACAGATCTAATTGTTTTCTTTTGGTAATTACATCAATTTTTCATTTTATTAATTGATAAAAAATTTAATCTGATATTTAGGTAAAAAGCTATTTATATCATTATAGCTATAATTATTTTTTGTTATTCATCAAAATATACCTAAACTGAGGCTAATATTATTTACTTTTTAAAACCAAATTCTCTATTGACAGAAAGAAAAAAGAAATTAATATGTCCCTGAATTTTATTGATGTTTTATTTTATTTAAAAACTGATTTAGATTTGATTACTGTTTCTAGTTGTAGAAATAATAATTTATTACATAAACACGTAGTTGTCTGTAATTTCTTCTTAACTCATCAATCAAGTTAATAACGACGAATTTTTTCGTGCTTTTTATCTTATTTGCTCATTCGTCTATTATTGAAAAATTTACGATCAGAAATAAGTGTTATTGTAATTTAATTATCTTACTGGTCGAACTTTTAGCAAACATAATTTATCATTGTTCAAATCAATTTTAAATAAAAAAAAAAAAAAGTATTCACTGTTTTTTCACATTCATTACATATTTCAAAACACTTTAATTAATTATTAAATTTAAAATGCTCAAACTTCGATTCAGGTTCAAAATAATTGAATTTAAACCTATATGTATTGATGATACCAGCTTTTTATTCACTATTTTAAAAAGCTTTCAATAAATAAGTGATCAGTTTATTAACTTGGTTAATTTTTACATAAGAATCAAATAATCCAAAAATGCCGAGTCAACTGAACGAGTTTGAAACAAAGAAAACAAAATTATAGAATGGGTTGCTTCTGGGACAGGCGATGCACTTTTTTGGAGTACATCTATATATATATATATATATTAGGGTGGGTCAAAAAAATCGATTTTTTTTTTTTAACTTCTAATATTGAAAAGTTGGTTCTCAGGCACCTCTAGAAAATGCTCACCAAATTTGAGCTCTTAATATTGATAGGAAGCTTATCCGCATCACAGTTTTATATTTTTTGTTAGTCTCTTATAAAAAAGATCATATATCTCACTATTGATCAATTTTTTAATCAAATCTTTATACATGTTTATGTGGAAAATTGAATGATCTACAAAAAAGATTTGAAATATGTAAGCGATTACATTAACCATTTCAAAGATATCCGAGGTCAAAGTTCAAAAAATTTATCAAAAAAAAATTTTTTTTTTTTTAATTTCCTACCAAATTGGAAAATAATAGTTGTCAAATGAATATGCCATAATTTTGTAGGAAAATCAACGCTCTACAAAAAAGGTCTGATATGTTAAATTGATTACTACAACCGTTTAAAAGATATTCGTAACCGAACCCCAATGCTTTCTGATTTCAAGAATTTTCTAATAACTTTTTCAAATATATCCATTAATACCCGCATGGAAAAATATATATGTGAAAAATATATGCGAATATATATTTTTTTTGCGCTAAATATATGTCCGCATATATGTTCACATATATGCGTAGATATATGTTCACATATATGCGTGACTTATGAATTAATTAATTTTTTTTTTTAAATAGAAATAAATTCTTTTATCATAAAACAAAGTGGAGTCAAAGGAAAAAATTTTAAAGATTTTTTTCAAAAAGTTATGCAAAATTCAAAATTTCACCATTTTCAGGTTTTTCAATTTTATTTTTGTAATATCTCAGAAACTATTATAGTTACAGACATGGGCCAAAGTTCATTTTAAAGGGGATACTTAGGACTATAAAAAAAAATTTTTTTGGGTAAAATTTTTGAAAAATCAGAAAGTGGGAAAATTTTGAAATTTAAAAAATCGTGAAAATTAAAGCCCGCTATGAAATTTTTGGCTCATTTTTTTTTACAGAGTACCTTATTGTTGTACTTTTTCTTTCACTTTTTTTATAGTTTAAAAAATTTAATGTGGTAAGAAATTAAAAAAAAAATTTTTTTTTGATAAATTTTTTGAACTTTGACCTCGGATATCTTTGAAATGGTTAATGTAATCGCTTACACATATCAAATCTTTTTTGTAGATCATTCAATTTTCCACATAAACATGTATAAAGATTTGATTAAAAAATTGATCAATAGTGAGATATGATCTTTTTTATAAGAGACTAACAAAAAATATAAAACTGTGATGCGGATAAGCTTCCTATCAATATTAAGAGCTCAAATTTGGTGAGCATTTTCTAGAGGTGCCTGAGAACCAACTTTTCAATATTAGAAGTTAAAAAAAAATAATCGATTTTTTTGACCCACCCTAATATATATATATATATAAAAATCTGTACGTTTTAATTATGATGTAGACTAATAAATACCATTCAAAAATATACCCTGAATAAAAAAACGTATTGAGACAAAGAAAAAAGTATTGAAAAGTATTAGATTGACTAGAAAACCAATACTTTTTTCTTTGTCTCAATACTTTTTTTTTTTATCAGGGTAATTAATCGAAACAAAGTTATCAATTACAGTTGTGATCATATAAAAATCATTGATATTGAATATGATCTACACATTGTTTCATTGGTGCATGAAAATTAAATTAGCTGACATCTGAAAATGTTCATAATTTTTTTTATTAAAAAATTATTATAAAAAAATTAAAAAAAAAGTTCACATGTAGAAGATTTGAAAAATTATGCGTGCAATTTTTTTATTTGTAAATTAATTGTTAAAAAAAATCAAAAATTATTGAACGTCGGCTAATTATAGTATCATCATTTATGCAATAACTAAATTTATTTTGGAATAATTATGAGTATGGACTTACTAAAAAGATAAAAAACCAGTATGCATTAGTGATTTTTATTACGATGAAGAGCAGGAAATAATTGTAGAAAAATCTCGAGAGCATAAGCAGAAACAACCAAATGAAGTTATTGTAACTGAAATAAAAGAATTTAATCAATTTTATCCGGAGAAAAAGTTGGTATGTAATTTTTTATGCAATTTTTATGACAGCTGTCATTAAAAGCGTCGGTTACAACTAAAATTAATTAGTATAATAATAAGGTATTTGACAATTGCTTTTTTTTCTTATGTCCCATGTAATTATTTATTTATTTATTTATTGGAATAAACGCCAATCGGCAATGTACACAAATTATTTAATATACTTAGGATTATTATTAATGATTTGACGGCTATTAAATATGTAATCATAAAATTATTGAGATTATTATAATTATTATAATAAGTGTACTAGCTGGTTAATATTAATTTCTTGACTTTGGAGGTGAAACTTGAGATTGAGTCCATGAAGAAATCGATGTCTGAGCTATATTTATTGACTAGGTTTGATATTCTGTTTTTGGGTCCATGATAGACATAGTTTTTTTTATGTTTTCGTGCTACTTAGTAGTCTAGTAGATCTTAAGCTCGTATTGATTGCGTATTTCTGGAGACTGTATTTGACCGAGCGAAATTATGGTCGAGCAAAATAAGAAAATGGTTGTGGAAGAGAGCTGAGCACCCTCGCTGGATGTATTCTTGCGCTCGTGAGAAATTTAAAATTTAAATATTAAAATCTATTGCGCCAATTGCGCCAATTGCGCCAAGTTTCGTCATCTGTAGGTATGTACAGTTTACTCTGTTGAACTCTGTTGATAAGAGAATTCTCTATATAGTTGTTAGCGCATGCGCATTCATTTATATTTTTAATCTGTTTTTTTTTGTGTGGTACAGTGTTGCCAATGTCCGGGTAATTACCCATTTTTCGGGTAATTCGATGTTAAATGGGTAAATGACCAAGCAATGGGACTCAGACGGGTAAAGTCGGGTAATGGTTGTTTTATTAAAAGGAGATCCACGCGAAGCAGTCAAGTTTTTAAAATTTTCTGAAAATTTGTAAATTTCATCTACATAGCCTAATAATCAATAAAAAAAATTTAAATTATTTCAAATTAATTAACATAATTATAGATTAATAATAGATATTTCAAACGCAAGATATGAGCTCGAAGAGTTGGAGATTAATATTTCAATATTTCTGTGAACAGAACAGTTGGAGAATAATATTTCTGTGACATGTAGCTAATGTTTATTTATTTTAATTAAAAATAAGTGACTGATTCAGGGGGAACTACTTGTATGCAATATCACTGTGCTGAATTATTTATTTTTATTATTATATTCGCAGTACTTTTATCTCGGATAAAATTTTATCTTGGATTGAAAAACTGGCCCTTACAATTAAAAGTTGGAAATCATTTAATCGATGAGTAAGGAATATAATTTAATTAACAGGATTACATAAATAAAATTATATATTTCTTTATAAAATGTGTAGAAAATTTGCCAAAATGCGCTCGCAAATTATGCTGGTTTATCTGAGACATGTTTACAAACAAATAAATTTCAAGGTTAGGGAACTGTTACGGTGTTGTCAAGTGTTTACCGGTAATTCAGAGTGCTATATTTTTTTTAGTCAATTAAATAATTATTAAATGTTAGTAATAATTAAATGCGTAAATTTTTCGGAAATTTCCTCAAAAATGTTATTAATTAATTTGAAAATTAATTTTAAGATGCATAACAAAAGTATTTCTACGCATTATTTTTTTTTAGACATATTCTTTACACTAGCAGGGTACTTGGATTTCCTTAAATTACATTTTATGTTAAAGTATTGAATAAATATTTTTTATGTATAATTCAAACTCATATTTTTCCGCTTGTCCTCATAACTTGAACTTGCGCCTTACCGGAACATAATGAATGATTCACAAAATCAATTGACTAATAGAAACAATTTATCCACGGAAACCTTAAAATCTGTATCAGTAACTAAAAATTATTTATTTAAGGATAGCGAAATTATTAATTTTGAGCCAACAAACGAAATGATTGACACAAATGTTTAGGAAAAATAACGATAAATAATAAAAAATCTGAATTAATATTGTTATAATAACGATTATCATTACTAAGTACATCGTCTAATGTTTATTTTTTAATTTATATGGTTTATATATTTAACAAATACTTAACAATATTATGTTTTAAAAGTTTAAAAAAACGAAATAATTCAATAAATTTTATTAATAATTATTATTGTGTACTTTTTATTTTGAATGCTCACGTAAGATTTAATATTTAATTTTAAATTTACCGCGCTTTTAGTAGATGGCAACACTAACTTTCAGTGCCGGGTAAAAACGGGTAATTGGACTTAGTGGAGTGGGTATTTAATTCTAACTTAAGCCATCGGCAACACAGTGACACTGTGGTAGTCTATTTAACACCGTGGAGTAATATTGTTTACAAATTATTCAATAATTAAAAAATGTTGAAAACAGTATTAAGTTCATTAAAAATATCTATTTTGGATCAAAAGTCCTCGCAATTGTTAACCGGTATTTTACAACCTTCCAATAACTTAATATGCACTAGATTGTTACATATAACCTCTTCTCTATCCGGAATTGATCAAAGGAGAAAACGAGAAGGTGTTATGAAAAAAGATGATGGAAGTGAGGGAGAATTTACAATAGGTATTGATAACATAGCTAAGCGGTAAGTTTACTTAATTATTTTTATATGACACCGAAATTAAAAGACATCTTATAATTTTTTAGATTTTTATAACAATCAAATTATCATGAAAAAAATTAAGTCAAAAAGTTTCACATAAAGAAATTTATAAAAATTATAAGTGCGAATTTTAAAAAATATTTTTTTTGTTATCATAACTGAATTACTGTAGAAATTTCAAAAATTGTCCGTTATTTGTTGATCTTATTGTCAGTATCATTCTCTCTATAATTAAAAAATTAATTACAATATTTGAGGTTGTACAATATTCTACTATAATTTTTCAATGTAAAAGTAACTTATAAATACTTGATTGTTTAATAGACAACGATTGTTTCCTGACATGAATACACCTAACACACTTTTTAATGGCATACCTTATAAAGAGATTCCTATTGTTAACATCAAGTGCTCTCCGAACAACACTATGATGTGTTTAACAGATTATAAGGGTGCGTTCAATTATCTTTATTAATAATTAAAATATTATTTATTTATTCAGAGGATGTATAAGTAACATTTAAACTTAATAGGTTCACTAAAAATGTTTAAAAGTTGCGGGACTGAAGGTTTTAAACATGCTCGAAAAGCAACCAATATTGCTGCGCAGGCTACCGCTATTTCATTAAGTACCGTAAGTAATTTATTATTTTTTTAATAAAGATATAATAAAGACAATAATTTTTTTCACGTCTATGAATACTACACCATTTTTCTATATCTGTGGATAATTTGGAAGATCTATTTAAATAAATGTAAAATTAGCAGATAGGTAATAAAAAAAAATTTTTCAAGTTATTCAAAAATTAATGATAAAAGATCTCAAAAAATGTGTAGAAAGAATATTAAAAATCTGCATTTTTTTTAATTTATTATTACAATATGTATATAATTTATATATTTCAAAAAATTTTGGAGCTTCTGATATAATCATACTCATTCTTTTTAAGTCGAATTTCTTCTAATTATAAATATTCTTCTTTACAAAGGATGAAATTTTTGGAAATTCACTGGTTATATCATTTGTATTGCATGAAAATTATAATTAAAATAATCTTAATACTGTTAAATTGAAAATTTATGATTTATTAAGAAAAAAAAAAAAACACTAAAAGACGAAATATTGATATTTGTAGAAGAAAAATATGAATAAAACAAAATCTTAATAATATCACAATGTAATAAATGAAAATATTTTTATTTACAGAAAGCTTTAGATCAAGGATATAAAACGATTAGAGTGCGAGTGAGGGGTTTAGGACCAGGCCGAATGGTAAGTTTTTCTTGAATATCTAAAATAGATAACATATTTTTAATATTCTCACATTACAGTCTGCTATCAAAGGACTTCAAATGGGAGGGATGGACATAGTGTCAATTACTGATAACACTCGGGTTTCTTGGTGTCCTTTGAGACCGAGAAAAGCAAAGCGATTGTAGAAACTTTTTATATTGCTATCAAATGTTAATAAAAATTTATCTATTACTCAATTACAAAATCTCTCTTTGAAATACATTTGCTAATCCTAGGTTTGTTTTAGAGTTTTTTTTTTTTAAAATGTTTAATAGGAGCTTACATTTAATTTACTTAATTTGAAATAATTTCGATTTTTAAAAATTTTTTATTTTCATTAAAAAACTTAACAATTGATGACTAGATTACGTATTCTTTGGTAATATTAAAATATCTGGTTGAACAAGGTTTAAATTGAAATAAAATTTTTAATTTGTTTCTCGAATAATCCAAGGCATATATTCAGATATTCGAGTATATATGCCTGGAAGCCGCGGTCGAGCACAACCAACACCTGACGAAACAATCCCTACGACAATAGTCCCCTCTTTTTTTAAAAAATTTTTGACCATCAAAGGACCACCGCTGTCAGCCTGAAACAAAAGCCGACTAAATATAGAGATAAAGTTTAAATTTATTTAATGAATATTCTAGTTGAAAAAATATATTCTTCTGTACTATACCTTTTTTTAATTTTTCAATTAAATTACTTACCCAACAAGCGTCTCGACCACCCGACTCATATCCTGCACACATTTGTTGAGGTTCTACCCGTGTTTTTTTTCCCTCTACTTTGTACCAGTCTTTGCAGATTTCATTTTTTACAACGTTGACTGCTACTTTTTGTAAGACATCTGTTCGCTTATCTTGAATGAAATGAATTACTATTATTATCTGGTTTTTATTGTGTAAGATGATTAAATTGAAATGAAAATAGTATATTTACATTTTGATCGATCTTCACCGAGCCATCCCCACCCAGCAGCAATAGCCGGTTCATTTTCATACAATCTATAACCTGGTTCTCCTTGAACTGTCGGAAAACACGCCGGTTGTACACTTGCTGACCAAGTTATTGGTGACTCTAATTCAAGAATAGCGATATCATTCACATATTGCCCACACGTGTGTTCTGGATGTACTATTACTCTCTGTACATTTTCTATTATAGCAGCAGGAATCTCAGGTTCTCGTAAATTGTACTCTCCCAGTGTTACTCGAAATTGCCTTGCAGGAATAGAGTCAGTGCCACTGAAATATAAAATTGTTAAAATTTAATAAATAATTTGTTGATTGATTCAGTTAATATTTTTAGGGGCATTTTATAAAAATCTATTTATTGCATTCATTTCATGGGGAAAATTTCTTAAAATTTTGCTATATCATGTCTTATATAGCCGAATAAGTTTTAAAAATGCCATTGGTTTAGAATTATCTATATATATATTTATATTTATATGAGAATGATTCGTCTATTGATTTTTTTTGTAATTTTTTGAGCAAAAAGTTTCCAATTGAGGATAATTAAATTATTAGTAATAAAAAATGATATTCATAAAAAATAGGGTATCATTTTTTTTATTTTTAAATGTAATTTCAAGAACAAAATTTCAAAAAATGAATTAATTGGATTATTATCATTATCGTTTAAAAAGTAAAATCATCATTTTCAAAAAGTTCGACCTCTTTATTTTTTTTATTCTCTCAAAATTTTACTTTATAAGTAGTGTGCAATTTTTATGTAATATTATGAAATGTGATCAAAATTATTTTTACTTTTCATCGAGAGTTGTATATTATAATCAAATAACTTTCAATAATATTAAAAACAATTTTATTCAAAGTGATTCAATCATTAAAATGAAGTAGAAATATTTTATTTCGTTATATCATTTTACATATGTCAAATGTGTTTTTGTAAATTGAATTCTGAATAAAAAGATATAATATATTTGTCGGAGAGTTCTGCTTAAATTCACTTTTTTTAATTTTATTTTAAATATTTCTCTCATTAGTTTTATAGGAACCCTATTAGAAGAGGTATAAAGGGATTTGCGCAACTGGAAGCTAGTTGAAAATAATAATATTTTAATTATTTTTTTACTAATAGAAATAAATTGTGATTGTTTTAATTAAGTAACTTGTAAGGGGTCATCCATAAATTACGTCACACGAATTTCAGGACTTTTGAACCCCTCCCCCCGTCCTTGTCACAGGTTGTCACATTTTTCGAACCCCCTCCTCCTTGATGTGACGTCACACATTTTTCAATTTTATGCATGTATTTAAGAATAATTAAAAAGAAACAGTTATTTTCATTTTTTTAAAAAGCGAGTGAGCACTCGCCGACGATTTAAATCTACTCAGACCCTTACTATTCAGAACTTGTGAGAATTTTAGTATCTCACTTGCATTACAACGCCGCTTTAGAAGTTAGATGTTGTTGCGTGAGAGATAATCTTATAACGAGAGTGCTAACGTATTAATAAATATAATTTGAGTTCGTAAATATTCAAAGTTTTTTATTCACATAGGATTGAAGTAGCTTTTGTGGCCACTGTACCGTTTATGGCCATTTATTGTTCCAATAAACGATAGAAATGAATTCATATTAATAAACAATTACAAACTCAATTTATTTTAATATAAATTTTTTAAAACTCAACAAAAATATGGTTATAATATTATAATTTTTTATAAATTAATTCAAATGTTAACTGGCCAAAAACTGTGCTAAGGTGGCCAAAAACGGTCCTTCTACCCTATAAGTTTCGCGTTTGAGTAATTCAAATTTTAACATGTGATGTCACAAAGCTTTTGACACCCCCTGCCCCTTGTCACACAATGTCACATTCTGGTAATACCCCCCCCCCCCCTTTGAGGTGTGACGTAATTTATGAATGACCCCTAAGTACTGATACAGCACGAAGTAATATAAAGTTTTTAGAAAAATTCACGGCTTATTATATTTTCACTTTAATTCAAAAGTAATTTGTAAACAACAAAATCATAATTTTCAAAAGATATGTAAGAAAAATTAAGGCTTATTTCAATTAAACTTATATGTAATCATTAAATAGAAAAGAAAAATAAAATTTTCATTGATTTTATTAATTTATTAAAGTTTGTAGTTATTCCGATAATAACATCGCATAGGTATAAACAAAACATAACAAAAAAAGCGTTTGTTTCAACTCGTTAGTCGGCAATTAAAAACAAATGTTATGTTTACAAATTAATTATAAAAAATTACAAATAATATCTAAATCAAGTTGAAAAATAGATTTATCTAGACGTGTCAAGAAGATGAAGCCAGCTAACAAAGTCATATTTCTATAGGCATCGTAAAAACTCGTTGTCAGACGTTAAAACTGGATAAAACTGTCAAGTTATCGTTGACCCGGAAGAGAACAAAAACAAATTAATAGTTGGATCAAGATATAAGTTGAGAAAAAGTATAAGAAACAAAATAAAAAAGGCTGTTAAAGTTACCCGGGAAAGTGAGTAAACTGTAGATAGAGAGACAGACAGAGTGAAAGAGGGAGGAATTGGAATTTGGATGACCTTTTGATGTTATATCACGTTTTACCGCGGTCGTGGGTACAACTACCGAGTGGTCTGTAATCCACACGCAATCATGGTTCGCAGAGCCATAGCGGGAGTCGAATTCACGCGCTTCAGCTCGTTACCTACAACCCAGTAGGGGGTTGAAAGTTGACCTTTCGTTGTGTGCGTTTATCTCTAGACTTTTAATTGTCCAACTTCCCTTTCCTCACATAGCTTCCATGCAAACTAATCTTCCGATTAAATCCGTACATCTTTTCTTTGTCACTAACGTTCAATACAAATAATACAAATGTTGACGTATGCATTATGCAGAATAAATAATAATAAATTTTAATCTCTATAATTATGAGAATAAAGAAAATTTTGTCATTAATTAGTTAATTAATCATTACCATAAACTTTTCAGTGTGTACATTGTTAAATTATTTACAATAATATATAATATAATCGAGTTAAATAATCATGAAAATATTAAAATGTTCAACAAACTATTTAATATATAAATAATATTAATATAGTTATTAATTCAGGATAAAAATTAAGTTAAGTTAATTAAAAATGTTCAATGATCAGTTGTAGCTCATTAAACAAAAATATATCGAGTAACACGTAAAGGTGTAAAAAATAGTAGATTACATCGTGTTAAATTTGAACGGATGGAAAATTTTGATCAGGAAAATTTTACACCGTTACTTATTCACACTACACGGCAGTGTAAAGTCCTCCAGGTCCATTTTTACTCCGAAATTTTTTACAGTGTAATTGATCTTGTGATAGCCTTATTATTTTTCAAAATTTATTCAAAAAGTATCCAAACAATGTATAGTGTGATTATAAATATAAAAAAAAAATCATTAAGCCAAAGTTTTCTTATCCATAATTCGTAAATCTCGGCAGCCACATAGTGACTGCAGGTCACTAGTTTTTAATTAATAAGCTAAATTTGTTTGTTTTTATTTTTTTATAAATAATAAATTAACTTACGAGCATAAACAATGAGCAGCTGTAAGAATAAATTTTGAGTTTATGATAGATCCTCCACAGTAGTGCCCTCCTTTTCTTGTAATGCTCACCAGCCAAGGAAATTCACGTGGTAGTGCATTCTCACCTCCCACGACTTTCGGCATGCGTGAAATTGGCGATGCTACTCCACATGGTACGTCAGCCACTACAACGTGTGATGATAAATAATACATCATTATGAAAAAATAATTCACATGATGAAAAGTCAGGCTGTATAATTTTATTACATTGATTGAACAACTACATTGATTAAAGAGAGCTAAAGTTTAAAAATTTTGTGAAATTATGTTACTTTAAATGATAATTAGCAGGAATTTTTTTCTTTTACATAAAATTACGAAATTACTGAAATTAAAATTATTTTATTTTTCCTCTATTACAAAACTTTAAAACTTCAAAACGTCAAAACCTTGAAATAGATTTAGAAGTCGTTTACTTTTAGTAAAATTTTTAATTTTTAATAACAAAAAAATTTTTTTCCTTCAGCAATTCTTTGTATTATGATAAAAGAAAACTAAATTTTAATCAAATTTCGTTTAAATTGAAAGGAGTCGATTCCATAGTTATTAGTTATTTTGCAAAAAAAAGAGTACATAATAAATTTACTAATTAAATTGTTTTTTTTTTTTTTTTTTACAGAAATTATCTTTAAATGATATCAAACATACAGACAATAAGTTTGTGGTTTCTTCCGCGGATAATAAATGGTAGTGGGAGTAATAGCGGCCGTAGTTCCATTTATTATAAAATGGAATATGGTAGGGTGATTTTAATGGAGATTTCCAACAATTTATTTTCTGTATCTAAAAAGAGATGCAACAGCCTGAGCTTATCGTGTTAATATATATGATAATTATCATCATGTAAAAATTTCAGGTTCTGTTTCCGGAGTTATTTTTAAGAAATATTAATTTATATTTTGGACTTAATTTCACATATAACCGTATTTTTTTCACTTTGAAAGCTTGAAACTCAACAAAAACCGTTGGGAAACAGTTTGATGTTTCAAATTATTCGAAATTGTTGAAGCTTTTGTTTTCTTAGGGCTTTTAAATTTATACATCAATGATAATTTTACTGAGATTTCCAAAGCCAGAGGATTTTGTCTGTTGATAATTTGTCGGGAATAATATTATTTTATTTTTTATTTCATCATTAAAATTAATCCTTGTAAGCTGAAAGGGATGTAAAAGGCCATGCAGGTCATACATTATATGAAATAAACTACTACTACTACTACTAGTTTGTCGGGAATATTGTATTAATAACTCGTACCTCCACGTTAGTTAAAAAAGAATATACAACAACAACGATTTAATTTGTTGATAAAGTTTGAAATTCTTAAGAAAAAAAAAATATATTATCGATTAAAATTATGATTTTTTTAACAATAAAATTTGATGATCAACTGTACTTAATATTGAATGATAATTGAAGATGGTAAGACCCGAGATTTGAAGGTAGATAATTAATTGCTTGATCAAATCTGTCTTGCAAATGAAATTCTCGCATTAAAGCGAACAGATACGACGGATCTGTCACCACAATTTCGAGGTCTGGCGTTTCCCCTCTCTCTACCGTCTCGTTTCACGCCTCGACTGATTAATTGGAAAGCCGCGTTTCACCCCGTCCCGGTGGATCCGTTTGTCCATAGAATTCGAAGTCGCCGCTATTCGGAAACGCGTAATAGATATGTCAAAGCCAGGCGGAACATGGTCATGATAATACGCCGAAGCTTTGCCGGGCATGAATCGGAAACGCGCTAGCGTTATCTAAACCTTTGAAAAATATTCTCTTCAGAGCGCATGAATCTACTCTTTGACCTACAGCAATATTGTTGTTTGTTATTATTTCAATGCAATCAAATAGTCTTGATCACTAAATGACAAGCTTATACGAACAAAGGGTAACATTTCCATTAATTATCTATAATTATTTTATTTCATTTCATTTATAGTTGTAAATTATGTTGCATATTTATCTCTGAAATAAATTTCTACCAGAATTAATTTTATTTGCTGCTTAAAAATGGATTTAATTTATAATTTCAATAAAAAATAATATTCTGAGCAATTATATACAATTATTTAACAATCCGATACATTCCAAAGAAAAATAAATATTCACAGAAGTTATATTCAAATGTCATCATCATCAATAACATTTAACTTTACAATACGAAATATTTTCTGACCTATTTATCAACTGTTTTCAAATGAGAAATGTTTGATCTGACCATGAATTTTTTTTTCATCATATAAAATAACAAAACATGTATTGTGGCTGAATTTTGATCAATACATAGAAAACTGAATTTATATGAAAAAGTAACATTCCAATTTTGTTGAAAACTAAAAACATTTTCTGGTTTTTTATAATAACTTCATAGACGTTGTAAAATATCAAAGGTAATCCGTTCTCCCTTTAATCCAATTTTTATAACTTTACGTACTGTGATGTTTTTCAAAGAGATTTTTTAAATAGAATATTTATAGGTAACGTTTTTTGAACTGAGTTTATTCTGTTTTCTCTTTTTAGGAAATTTCGTTAATTTTTTTAATTATTCTTCTGCCTCAGAATATTTTAAAATGAGCTAAGAATAATCTTTGAATCTTTTCCATAAATTTTAGCGTTATTTTTAAGGTTTTAAAAATCGCAAAGAAAATTTTCTAGCAATTGTAAAATAAAATTCTATGGAAATAGCCAAACGTTTAATCAATTATTCAAAAATTCTTACTAGGTATTATGAACAGAGAAATTTTCCGTAAAAAATTATTTTTGTTCTTAAACGGCATTTTAAAAATTAAAAGTAAGTTTTTTGTTTAGAAACTTGTGGAAGGAAATCCTTTTATAATTTTCAGAAGATCGATTTTTATTTCACATTAAAAAAAATAACATACTGAGAGGATTTTGGGCCAAAGAAAATATTTAAGGAATTATCGTAGATATTTGAGAGCGCCATACTGTAGTGTAACTTTAAACGTGATTATTTCGAAAGTGTATTTTCAAGAACTGCTTGTGCTTTAAATCAAAAAGTTGCAGTTAAAATTAAAAAAAAAAATTTGAAAAATTTCAACACTTAATTGGGTAGCTTACTTAATTTTCAGTTAATATACTTATTTATTAATGTACTTTCTTAAATTAATCATTTTTTTGTCTGTGTTTGAAATTGATTAAAGTTTTTCATTATTGTTTCGGACCAATAGAAAAAATATGACAAGTGCAGCATTTTCGATGTCGCGTTCAAAATGCTCGAAAAAATATTTTACATAATTCATAAATAAAAAAATTCTTAATGAAATTATGTTTAAATTTTACAATGTGGCAATTATTTTTTCACTTCTAAAAACAGTTGTAAAAATAACTTGTTTTATGTCTAACGCGAAAAAAGGTGATTTTCTTTTTTATCAGGGTGATGCGAAGCAGATATTTTTGACTCAGTGGTATCGTAAGTGCTGTACCTTAATAAATTCAACGGCTTGCACTTTATGAGAATTATTTAGCAGCTCTTGATATTTAGTTTTTCAAATAAAACAGCATGAACTTATTAATGTAATTCAAGGATAATTGATTGATTTTTTAGTATATGAGAACAATTGACAGTTAGATGTAGTATATCCAAGTGTCAGAAAGCGGAAGTGATATGTTTTTTTTTTTTTTTAATCCGCTCGATGTGTTTTACATACACAACAGACTACTGATGCACTTGGCGATTGGCACCCCACAATAATTGTATTTATCGCTCGAGAGACACCCATCGACCTGCCATACATACCGAATACTAGTGTACTGCATTTTCCGCTGACGCTGTCAGAGTTAAATAAAATTATAGCCAATGCATGCGGTTAGTTTGAATTGTAAATTCTGTCATAGACGGATGGTCGTTGTACTGGCGTGTCCACAAATTTTCTATCTTCATCAGTAAATAACTTATTTGCATTTATAAAAGTTTATATTATTTAATAACTGGAGATAAAATACTTGGAAAACTTTCCGCTAAGAAATTTATTGCGAATAATTTTTGTTTGTAAAGTATACATTACAGTAAAAACTGATCGTTGAATTAATATATAAATGGATACTGTAAATATTGTTTTTATATTATAGGAATAAATATTTGTATTATGAATTGAAATATAATTTTTACGATTGAAATAAAATTTTTTATTATTCACCATCAAAATTGTGGTCGTTTAGTTACCTCATCTACTCCTGGATGTTTTTTAGGTACTGTTAAGGTTAAAACATATTTAGTTGAATTTTAATAGTATTTTTATTTCTGTTCATATATGTTTTTTATGCTTATCAATGATTTAACACGGAAGAAGTGTTGGACTTGAATACAACTCATAATACAGTCACCGGCAAAATTCGAGCAGCTTCATAGAAAATTTTCATATGCTGTTATTGATTCTATTGTTTACTTTGTATACTAGTGAATCAATTAATTATGTTATTGAATTTTATTTTAGTGAATTTTAAAGAACCATTGTCTAAAATTTCTATACAACTATTTAAACAATTGTTTCTTTATCCCTATAAAATTAATATTCAGAGTTATTATTGTCATGTGAAATATTTCTTTTTACTTGATTATAATTTTAAATGTTTCACTAATTGTCATCATTAAACGTTTTTGTGATTATAATATTAACCGTGCAATGTAATGAGACAATTTAATAATTTTCATAGCGTGTCGAGATTGTTATATTCCTTCTTTTATAATACAAAAAAAAAAAAAAAAAAAAAAAAAAAAAACAAATTGATCCAAAAAAACATTTTCTGCAAAATTAAGTTTTTATTTGAAAACGTACAGTCTTTTTTAATTTTCGATTTAAGAATTTTACTTTCTACCGAAGCACTTTATTGATTTTAACAAAAGTATGAATTCAATTTTTTTAGTTTTTTCGCAAAAAAAATTGATCATCAATAAAAAATGTATAAAGTTAGAAGGTGGCACAAATTCAGATTGACACCATCCTGATGATACAAAGTCAATTATAAAAATTTCTTTTAAAATATAATTATGTCCGTCACAAAATTTCTCTTACACTCAGTTATTTAGATGTTAAATTTACCATAGATGAAACAACATTAAACCGTGAAAAGACACGAATTCAGGTTACTCCTTACCTATAGTGTTACCAAATTTTACTATAGAAACCCATTTTACATTTGTTACAATAAGATATTTTTCATATCACAAATTTTTCCTTATTCTCTTAATTAAGTATATGGATTAATATTTAACGTGTAACTACATTCATATGTACAAAATACGATAAATAAATAAACAAATAAGCAAAATTAAAAACTAATCCGAAAACTTATCACAAAAAAATTAACTTTTGCTGAAAACTATATGGAATCTATGAAAAGTACAAATTCAGCTCAAGATATTTCCAATGATACTAAATTTAACTAAAAAAAATTTATTTCATCATAGAAATATACAGAAAATTTTTTCTAATATATAGATTATAATAATAAAGTTTAATTTTTAACTTATGGTCTTAAATCAATTTTAATTACTTTTTTTTTCAAAATTGTTGATAAAACAAGTTAAATTTCTTATAAGGGTACTCGTTTAAATTGCAGAATAAATATGGTTTGATAGTAAAGTACTCACTATTATCTAGCGTAGACGCGAGTGACGTGCAATTTTTTTCATGGTAACGTATTAAACTGTTAACCCTTCAACACTTGCGCTATGAGAATTTTTCTCACCCAACAACATTAAGCTTACAGGACATCGCTATAGTGCAAGTGAAAGACTTAAAAACAGCGAGTGCTGACGGTTTAGTGTGGAAATAGAAAATTTTGTTTAAGGTATATGAAAAAAAATTGTATAATAAGTATACTTACAGTTATTATATTCTACTGCGAAAATAGGTGTTAAAACTCCGATAAAAACGAATATCACGCAAGCCATTGTTCCCTTGGCTGGATCTAGGCACTTGTCGGTTGACAGAAAAGTTATCACAGTTTCTTAACATTGACGGGTTCTTTATAAATCGCAAACATTATTCTCTCCCACTTATATTTTCAAATTATGAACAAAAGAGGGGCGGAGATGCTCTTGAATTAGTTGACTCATTGTATTTGTATTTATAATATAACTCTTGTCATCAGGGCTTTAGATGAATGATAAGTTCGTATATTTTGTAAAAAACTAAGGTTTCGTATGTAATTATTACAATTACCTTGACAATGTCATGAGTATAATACCCACAGAAGCCAACGTACTAACTTTAATTTATTTCTAAAAAATTAGTTTTCACGTTCATAGACCTCAAGGTCTTTTTTATATTCTACTGATGTAAAAAGAATTTAAAATATATTAAATGCGTTGAGAGAATTTTTAATAAAACTATTTTTGAAACAAAAGCCAATATCAATCTATAGTTATATATTTTTTATCGTTATCTTCAACAACAATTAAAGAATAATTATAGTGATAAAATCGTCACATGTCTCATCATTTCCGTATTCTGAGTTAATGATTTTAGGTCATGCGGGTTTCACGGTGAATTTTCACCACGGTCAGTTGAAATTTCTCAAACAAAATGCAAATTGATTTTAGTAAAGGTCAAATTGCTTCGCGTTTTATTCGATAAAAAATTGATATTAAAAATCATAAATTCTTTTTTTTTTTTTAAGGGGTTACATGGGTTTAATCTGGGAAAAAAAAAAAAAACATATTTTTGACATTTTTTCAAGTAGATTTCATAGAAATCCAACTATTGCATTGGTCCTCATGACGGAACTTTTGAAAAATTTTGCTATATTTCGACTTCGCTCGTCAAGTGAATTCAGAAAATGCATATGATTCAAAAGTTTATACATGTATGTAGCAATTCAAAAATAGCAAAAATCTTCATTTATACTGTTTTTCCGCGCGATAGCAATTGAACGCGATATCTCATCATATTTTTGTAAATTGCATCTGAAAGCTTGATAAATAAGCTTTAATTTGCATGTCAATTTTTTTTTCTAAATTAAATAGTTTAGGATAACAAAAATTTGAACTCTTCAAAATTCTCAAAAATTGGTACTTGTTTCTTTTGGTTATTTTTTCTTTATAAAATAACTATTGAATGGAATAAATTTAAAAATTTTTGTAAATTACATCTGAAAGCTCAATAAATGAGCTTTAATTTGCATACATGGAAAAAAAATCGCTCTCTTATTTCATAGAATTTTTCTCTTGCATTCGTTTTAGAAATGATTATTTTAGTCATATTGAAATGTACAGCGAACACAATTGTGGTCTTCATTGATTACTTTAAATGTAGAAAAAGGGAGGGGGGGGGCAAAATGGGCCCCCTAAAATTTTCAATATTCAAAAATATTCGGGGGCAAAATGGGCCCTCAACATTTTTTACTCTCAAAGTGTTTGGGAGGTAAAATGGGCTGATTAGACTTTGAAAACCAATGAATATTTTTCATTTAAATGCGTGCTACAATTTTTGTATTGTAGAAAAAATCATCAAAAAATTACATAAAGAACGAACTCGGTTACGAGTTAATAAATAACAGCATTATTAACAATATTTTTTGATAAAAAACTATTTATTTTACAGAAGCTCCCCTGACTATTTTTACGATGGTGTGTGTGTGTGTGTGTGTGTTTTTGCATGCATGTGTGTAACCCTCTTACCTTAATTTGTTTTAATTATAATTTTAACGATCGATGATGACGGGAAAAATTTATTTATCTGTTTCATTATAAAAGTTATAAACTATTCCGTGTAATATTATTTACAATAGCTAAAGGTAATATTTTTGTTATACTTTTGTTGATTGAGTATCTTTTTTTAAAACAATATTTTTCCTTAATTTTCTTAGTTAATTACTTTGACAAATTAAATTAGAAGCCTGACTATATCGTTGAAATAATTTATAAATAGTGTCCTAAATTAGATTAAATCTTATTACTCCAACATCTTTATTTTTAAGTTAGCACAAAGTACTCGAGCGAACTTTATTTCTGCATTTTTTTTTGAGATGGTAGATTTTATTAATGAGCTCTTCGGTTGATAAAATTGTGGCAAATAACTAACATGTTATTTTGCTAACAAATTAAAAAAAAACTCGAGAATATGCTCACCAACCTTGTCAGTAAAAAATTTCCGAGTGAATATAACAGGGTGAGAACTTTTTACCAGGTGAGTACAAATGTGTGCAGTTGTTTTATAGCTCTTAAACGAATTAACTAATTTTGAAAACTCAGCTGTAAATAAAAAGAAAAGAAGAAATATCACATTTTAAATGAAGTTAAGCTTTAGTATTGATAGACCAATTTTATACTGATTTTTATTCTTAAAATTAGTTTTTTTTTAACTTAAAAAATTGATGTCTGCGAAATTTGTTATTTGATTTCTGATCATAATTTCCATTTTTAATTTTATAAGTAGGTATTAAAACAACAAAATTCTATATAATTACCGAAAGTTCGAGTAGATTTTATTTTTAATATGATCAAATTGTAAAATGTATATCTCGTAAGCTTATTTGTCATTGTACATAATTAATAAGCTTCGAAAGTATGGAATTAAAGACTCACTCCACATATATTCTACATTTTGGTATAATTCGAGAACTGACAGCACATATTAAACTGAGGGAATCATTATCGTTATTACATAATTAATGTTACGTTCACGTAACTTATTGTAATATACTGTTATTATTTATCATTTGTGAGTCTCTTCCTACTGTTATATACTTTTATGTCTGGATTATAAAAATTTTTGTAGAATTAATTGTTCAACTTTTGATCATTTGAGACAGCTAATGGATAATCTAATCTAAAATAAATGAAAATTTCATGCGGCTTGTCTTTTTTACCAACTAGTAATATTGTAAACAAAATAAAAATGTGGCATGAATATCAATTTTTATTGCATTCATTTACAAAGATTAATGTTTTATCTTGCTATTTATTTTTTAACTTCCCGCTAAGAAAATTGAAAATTAAAAAAAATCGGGAAGTTATTGGTTTTACCCCGTTTTTCGAAAATCGAGTTCTCATCAGATCTCGACGTTTTGAGGTCCTAGGAAACTTCCCTGAATGTTTTCGCGATGATGCCCGTGTGTGTGTGTGTGTGTTTGTTTTTTTTTTTTTTTTTTTCCCTTAGGGGGGGGGGGGGAATCCTTTTTACGGATTCTAGGCGTAGTTGTTTGGCCTGGATATGTGGCGACTTGACGCAGCGTCATACTAAAACTCGACGCTAACGCCCCTATTACCCACCCACTAAACCCTAAACCCCTTTCCTCTTTCCTCTAATCCCTCATGGAAACCGCCGTTAGGCATTACTTTGTGGGGGGAGGATATAGCGACTGCTCTTCCTTCTGGTAACTAAGGTATTATTTTACCTTTCTTCTAGTTGTTGTCATTTGCTCTTCTTCTTTCGATGGAACGCAAGTCTGTAAGGACTTCTGTTGCAAACGTGTTTGCGGCGTTCCAGGCAGCCTCTGATGACAGCATTGCTTCTACTATTGTCTCTGGTTGAATTTTCTTCTTCAGGATCATCTCCAGCTCATCTCGCTGTGGGTAAAATCGTGGGCACTCAAAGAAAACGTGCTCCGCGTCTTCATTGATTCCTGGGCAGGACGGGCACTCCGGTGAATCATCATGCTTGAAGCGGTGAAGATACGTCCGAAAGATACGTGTGTGTGTGTGTGTGTGTGTGTGTGTATGTATGTAAACCTCTTATAACTTTTGAAAGGTTGAACCGATTTCATCGCGGTTGGTCCCATTCGAAAGCGCTTGGTCAAACTTAGATTTCCTATTGATTTGAACCGATTCGGACCGATAGACTTTGAGAAATCTCAAAAAAAATGAGAAAAAAATTTTTTTCAACAGTGGTTTTTTTTGAATAATTTTTAAACGGCTTTACCGATCGATTCCAAAAACTAATCAGCTCTCAACCTTAAAAAACCACGTCAATCGCCACCAATCCGGTCAAAATCGGTTGATCCGTTCGTGAGTTATCGTTGTCGAAAAAAAACCGAAAAAAGTGTTTTTTCGAAATTACTTCGAAATTCCTGGCTTGATCGATTTAAACTTGAAGATTCTTTATAGGGCTTCAAAAACTGCGTCGAGTCCCACCAACCGCGTAAAAATCGGTTCATTCATTCAAAAGTTATTGCGGTTTGAAAATTAAAAAAATAGTGTTCTATGAAACTTCTATCAGACTTTTGAGCTCGGAGAGCTCAAAACAACACATAGATTGTATTTTTGAGCTCGACGACTTCGTAGGTGCAATTTTAAGTGCCCAGGTATTAACGAAATTAGCGGGAAGTTGCAGGGATGGTCTTTAGGGTCAACCGTTTTCCAAATTTTTTGATTTTGAAACGTTAATGGGACAAAAAACTTCAGATTCGAATTCAGTGGAACAAAATACATAAAAATCATACTTAGTTTTAATACAAAAAAATTTTTTCATCGCTGTGATTGCCGTTTTTCGCAATTTTTTGCCTTTTTTTTTGGGTTTTTTGCATTTTACTGAAATCAGGAAGGTGACCGGGCGAAACGGATTTTAAATTCGGATTCAGCGGGTTGTAACACATGTCCGTAGGTGGGTCCGGTTAAATGCACAAACAACTTTTTTTTATGTGTGCCGGTGCAGTATTTTTGAATCAGAAAAATGTACTTTTAGTACATTTTTAGATTTCTGTATCTTTATTTCCTCTATGGTGTAAAATGTTCCAAAAATATTTTTTAGCCCAAATTAATGGTTAACACACCATTATTTTAACCTTTGACATAAATCAAATGACTGTTGTCACTTAGTTGTTGACATTAGCAAAAATATTTATTCCTAATTAATCTGACTCGTTGGTAGAAAAAACAAAAAAAAATATCATTCAGTAGAATATCCAGTATTTCATCATATTCTTAAGTTTATGATCTTATTCTACAGTTTCTTGAAAAATCTCGATTAAATTATGGAATAATGTGTGTTCATCGGTACGGAGAGAGGCGACTTACCGAGATTAAATTGTAAAACTTGAAGAAGCACTAGGGTT